TGATATCCAAATGAAGTTCTTCTTTATGCATATTTTCAAAGTAATGAGTAAATTTTTGAAAATCTGACTGAAATGCATCAATGCTAATAGTAGAAATATGATAATGATAAGAGTATCAATACCACTGCTAATTATCATTATTATTATCATCATTACTGTTATTATTATTATAATTATTATCATCTTTTATATATTCACCATTATTATTATCATTATTATTTGTATATATTATTGTAACACGATTCTTGAATCGTATTGAGTAAATTAGTTTCCCCTTATGTTTAATTACATTTTCTGTTTTATGTGAAGTTCCAACATTATCTTCTGGAATATTCGTTTTATATGTTTATAAACCATTATAAACAATCTTCGACTTTTGCTATGCACATTGAGGAATACTGTAATTTCTAATGATTTATTACTTAAGAGAGAGGAACCATGTACTGTTAAAATAAATTACAAGATCATGTACATTTAAGTATATTTTTATAAGAGCTTGTTGGTGAGGAGAGAAGAGAGGAATCAACAATCAAATGAACATGGAAAGCGGCCGCTGTCAAAGATTTTGATATTTTAGAGTAGAATCATTATTACAAACATAAGCATCATGGAATTGTGCAGTCAAGTGAGAGTGAATACAAAGGGACAGTAAATGTGCCCTTCTGAGACATGACAGTGCCGCATTGAAGTTCTGGACTTTGTCTTGGTGCAGTTGGTGGTGTCGACAATGTTGTAAGTATATAATTTTGTAATTCTTAAAAATATTCTAGGTTTTGAGTTTTGATGATGAGACTTCAGGAATTAGTTTAACATGTTCTATGGCTGTGAAATGATATTAACATAAGTGTTGTGAGATGCTACCTTCAAAGGGAAATTATTAATATTGATTTAATGTTGAGATTGGAAATTCCATATATGTTATTGTTCAGGATTGCTATAAAGCATTTAGGTTTATTTTGAATTATATTGTATTATCTTTGTATAGGATATGTAATTATTTTGGGTGATCATTGCTAACCTATCTTTTTTGTATTTCAACTGTTACATTCATGTGCCTCACTGTGATTTATGAATAGTTAACCAATACTTTTGTATTTCAACAATTACATTTATGTACTTTCTGTGAACTATATTATGGAAACTTTTGCAGGTTGGAACAAATAGAATAAAGAGTTGCAGCACGTTGTGTTTTACCCTGCCTGACGAGTCTGGAGCTAACATTCCAACAACATTTGGCCAAGATGTCGAAACCTACAGAACTGGAATCTCTACGCCGTCTGAGAGGAACAGCGAAAGGGAAGTTAAGTAGGAAATGCAAATTATTACGAGAACAAGTAAGTGAAAATTCATCATGGGACCAAATTGAGTCGTACTATATGGAGGTTCAGAAAGCTTTCAGTGAGTTAGAAATATTACATGGAAAAGTAACTGAAAATATGTGCCAAAGTGTAGAAGAAAATTTTGATAAGAAGCTAGAGGAAGAGGAACTCTATATAGAACAGGCTGAAATAATAAAAAATGAAGCATATGCTCAGCTAATGGCTAGCCGAAAGAAAGTGGAAGAGGAATGTGCAACTGAGAAGTTAAAGATTAAAGTAAAGCCATTGGATCCTCCAAAATTTGATGGAGATATCCGACAATATCAAACTTTTCGTAGCAACTATAGAAAGATTATGACGGAAACTTATGGGAAGAATGCCTATGCATTATTTCAGTGTTTGTCAGGAGAAGCATTAAGTGTTGTTCATGGGGTGGAGGATGATTTTGATAAAATGTTTTATCGTCTTGATCAGAGATATGCTGATCCGATTAGACTAACGGATTGCATAATTGAACAGCTAAGAAAACTAAAACCAATCCCTGAAGGTGACACTATTAAATTTATTGATGCAGTAAATGTGATTGAAAATTGTTGGACAGACATGCAGAGAAATCAATTAAAGGAACAAATGTCTACTGTGATTGTAATAAGTTTGATTGAGAAAATATTGCCTTCACAACAAAGGCGGGATTGGACAAGAATTTATCAAGACTTGACGGACAAATCAAGTGCCTTCCCAAACCTTATGGAATTCTTGTTGAAAGAAAGACAAATACTGGATTATATGGACAAAGATGTACGCAAATTTAGTCAACCAAAATAAAGCAAGTGTACATAATGTAGAAGTAAGTGAGAGGGATGACCCTTTTATTAGTGCCTTACAAAAATTGCAAATTCAACAAACCGAACACCAGGCAAATATAGAAAATATTTTGCAAAGGATGACTCAGTTTATAACAGGGAATCCAAAGTAACAAATCTAGATTTCCTTTGGGTAATAGTATTTATTGTTGGTACCATAATTCAGATAATCATTCGATCCATAAATGTTCCGTATTCCATAACTTGGAACCTACAGTTAAGATGGATGTGTTGAAGAAAAACTTTATATGCTTTCATTGTTTGGGTAAAGGGCACAGTCAGAAAAATTGCCATGAAAGGAGAACATGTTTTATCAAAATGAAACATGGTAATGTTTGCGGTAAACCACATCATCCTAAATTACACTACCTGTTTTCACAAATCAATCCAAATGAAGTGAATATCAATATCAACAAATCAGAGAATTCTATTTTATTAATGATTGGACAAGTTCACTGCAAAGACAGGGAAATTGTTACTCTGTTTGACCCTGGAAGCACTAATAGTTTGATTACACACAGTAAAGCTCGAGAACTTGGTTTGTGTGGGATTCCTTATAACATTACCATGGTGACAGTAGGAAATGTTTGTGATACTGTTTCTACCAAACTTTATGAAGTCCCTCTCATAGATGTCACAGGGAAGATAAGGTCAGTACATTGTGTAGGGATTGACGATATTACTTCTGAAGTGAAACCAGTAGACATAAGTGAAATACACTATATATTCGATGTCTCCACAAATACTGACATATTAAGACCTCAAGGGAAAGTAGACTTATTAATAGGTGCGGATAATTGTGACATGATCCCAAGTGTTGTGAAAACGGTAGGGAAATTACAACTTATGAAAGGACCTTTTGGTTACTGCATCAGAGGTTCACATCAGAACTTCAAGGATAATAATACTAGATATTATAGTGCAAAGATAAATCATATACAGATTAACCGAGAATTAGATGCACTACATGGAGAACCTTGGAAAACTTTAAAGGAAGATTTGGATAATTTTTTCACAGTGGATCATTTAGGGACTAATTGTAAACTTCAGTGTGATAACTGTAGTAATTGTAACAAATGTAGTAGAGAATTGGACATTACTATAAAGGAGGAAGAAGAAATGAAATTAATACTCAAGGGTCTTAATCATCAAGAAAGGGAGAAGGTTTGGGTAGCACACTATCCTTGGATAAAGGATCCATATCTTCTCCCTAATAACTTTGCAGCTACAATAATGAGATTAAAGGGAACTGAAAGACGATTAAGAAAATTAGGTGAAATGTCTTCAAAAGCATATAAAGAACAAATTGATGATATGCTGAAAAGAGGAGTTGCAAAGAAATTAACGAAAGATGAAATTAGGCATTATTCGGGCCCAGTACATTATGTTTCGCATCACGAAATCTTGAAACCTGATTCCATTTCAACACCAACACGTATTGTGTTCAATTCTTCTGCTTCTTACAATGGACATATTTTGAATCACTACTGGGCTAAGGGCCCTAATGTATTAAACAACCTCTTTGGTTTATTACTTAGATTTAGAGAGAATCCTATTGCATTTATCGGAGATATTTCAAAGATGTTAATAGTATAAGACTTTCAGAATTTGACTGTCATGTTCACAGATTTTTATGGAGAGGTTTAGAAGATCGTCCTCCTGATCATTATGCTTTGACAGCAGTTCCATTTGGAGACATTTGTAGTCCTGCTATTGCAGTATTGGCCATGAGACAAACAGCATATAAATATAAAGAAAGATTTCCTGAGGCTGCGAATGTTATTATAGGTGACAGTTACATGGATGACATAATTCATAGTGCAGACAACATTGATGATGCTATTGAATGCATGAATGATATTGAATATATTTTAAAACAAGGTAGTTTCCATATTAAGAAATGGGTAATGAATGGGAATCCACATACTGAGAATGACATTAATCTTTTGAATACTGAAGGAGAAAAGGTACTCGGCATAATGTGGAATCCTGAAAGAGATGAAATGTGGTTTAAAACAAATTTGAGATTCATGCCGAAAGAGGGAATCCAAGATTTCTTGTGTAACGGTTAGATTAGAGACTCTTGATAAGGAATTCCCTGAGATATTAACTAAAACAAGTTCTCAGCCAGATAGCTACCATTTTTGATCCCATGGGATATGCTGCCCCTATCATATTATGTGGAAAATTATTAATGAGAGAGGTTATTGTATACTTGGATGAGATGGGAAAGAAACTTGACTGGGATGATCCATTGCCTAGAAATCTCAGGGAAAAATGGTATATATTCTTTAAGAGTATATTCCAATTGGAAAACTTATGCATACCAAGATGCATTAGAAATACCTCTCTTATTGAACCTAGTTTAATAATATTTTCTGATGCTAGTACCCAAGCCTATTCTGCATGTGCCTATGCTCGTTGGCAAGTTGATAGAGGAAATTATGAATCTAGACTACTTGCATCAAAGAGTAGACTCGCTCCTGTAAAGCAGCAAACTATACCTAAACTTGAACTTTCTAGTGCTGTTCTGGGTGTCCGTCTCCGTAACGCAATTATTAAGGAGAGCAGCATCCAGTATCATAAAGTGTATCATCTTACAGATTCTGAAATTATACTTGCTCAAATTATGAAGCCTAACATTTCTGTTGGTACATACGTTGCTAATAGGATATCAGAAATTAAAGAAACCACCAGTAATGAAGAATGGCATTGGATCCCTACAGACAGTAATGTAGCTGATTTATTGACTCGACCTGATCCTACCATTGACATTAGCTCTGAATCGAAATGGCAGAAAGGGCCACCTTTTTTAAAGTTGCCTTATTCACAGTGGCCTGTTAAATCTATACCACTAAAATCAGAAGAGACCGTCATTAGTAATACTATTGAGATTAATAGTTTAGACACAGAGACAACTTTATTTGATATTGAAGGTTTTCAGTCCTATCGGAAACTCATTTATGTTACTGCCAGAATAATTAATGCCTTTCGCCAGTGCTCTTTCAAAGCTATAAAGGACCTGCCAACTATAGAGGAATTAAATGCTGCAGAGACAATTTGGATTAAACGTATACAAGCCCCTTTATTATTGAACTGGAAAAGGAGATTTAAGCGTTTAGGTCCATTTATGAAGAATGATACATTATATGTAGGTGCTAGAATTGCAATATGGATGAAAAACAACTATAATAATGAATCATTTATATTGTTGCCTACAAAACATAAATTTACTGAGTTATGTATTAAAGAATTTCATGATAGGGATCATGCCGGAATAGAGACTACCCTGTGCAAACTGCAAAATAAATTTTGGATACCCCAAGCAAGGAGATTGATTAGGAGAATTAAAAGTCAATGTGTGACATGTAGAAAATTAGAAAGGAAGATAATAGGACAAAGCATGGGACCTGTACCCAAGGAGAGATTGAAACCTTCCCTCCCTTTTATCATGCAGCATTAGATTTATTTGGTCCTTTATTGATAAAGGACACCGTCAAAGGGAGATGTAAAAAGAAGGTATATGGAGTTATGATAAATTGTCTTAGTTCAAGAGCCTCTTATGTTGATTTAATTGAAGGCTATGATGCAGATAGCTTTATAACAACACTGCGCAGATTTACAGCATTAAGAGGCTTCCCAAGGTCAATATATTCTGATTGTGGGACTCAGTTGAAATTAGCAAGTAAAGAGCTAACCCAATTTGGTTTAAATGGTGGAATGGAATGGAACTTTACAAAATCAGCAGATGCTCCATGGGAGAATGGTTGCTCAGAAGCCCTAGTAAAATTAGTCAAGAAAACTATCGCTAGAGTAATTGGCAATGCTACCCTAACATTTGGGGAATTACAAACTGTAATGTTTGAAATTGCTAATATATTGAATGAAAGGCCAATAGGTATGAAAAATGGCTCTAGTGCAGTTCAGGGTTCATACCTCTGTCCAAATGATCTGATTTTAGGACGTGCAAGTGTTAAAGCACCAGAAGGAATATTTACACATAATGTTAGTACAAAGTCACGGCAGAATTTTATTAATGATATTGTGAAATCGTTTTGGAAGAAATGGATGATCCATTATTTTTCCAACTCTCATAATACAACAGAAATGGCATTGTGAAAAAAGAAACCTAAGAGTAGGAGATGTTGTTATTGTGCAAGATCAAAATACGATAAAGGGGACATGGAAATTAGCTGAAGTTTGTAGCATTATACCCAGTTCAGATGGTAAAGTCAGGGATGTCGAAATTAGATACAAAATACAGAAAGAGAATGGAGACTATGAGGGTCAACAAGATGTAAGAGTAAATAGATCAGTCCACAATTAGTACTTATTTTACCTGTTGAAGATCAATAATTCTTGGCGGGGGGAATGTAACACGATTCTTGAATCGTATTGAGTAAATTAGTTTCCCCTTATGTTTAATTACATTTTCTGTTTTATGTGAAGTTCCAACATTATCTTCTGGAATATTCGTTTTATATGTTTATAAACCATTATAAACAATCTTCGACTTTTGCTATGCACATTGAGGAATACTGTAATTTCTAATGATTTATTACTTAAGAGAGAGGAACCATGTACTGTTAAAAAAATTACAAGATCATGTACATTTAAGTATATTTTTATAAGAGCTTGTTGGTGAGGAGAGAAGAGAGGAATCAACAATCAATGAACATGGAAAGCGGCCGCTGTCAAAGATTTTGATATTTTAGAGTAGAATCATTATTACAAACATAAGCATCATGGAATTGTGCAGTCAGTGAGAGTGAATACAAAGGGACAGTAAATGTGCCCTTCTGAGACATGACAGTGCCGCATTGAAGTTCTGGACTTTGTCTTGGTGCAGTTGGTGTGTCGACAATGTTGTAAGTATATAATTTTGTAATTCTTAAAAATATTCTAGGTTGGAACAATAGAATAAAGAGTTGCAGCACGTTGTGTTTTACCCTGCCTGACGAGTCTGGAGCTAACAATTATTATTATTATTAGTAGTAGTAGTAGTAGTAGTATAATTATTAATATTATTATTGTTATGAATATTACTATTACTATTTTTATTGTTTCCATTATTATTATTATTATTATTATTATTATTATTATTATTATTATTCCTATTTTATTGTTTTATTATGTTATTTCACTATTATTATTGTTATTTTTTTCTGATTATCCTCATTATCATCATTATTTTTTTTATCATTATTATTATAATTATTATAATGATTATTATTATTGCTATTGTTATCATTATTATTATTATTATTATCATTATTATTATTATTTATTATTATTATTATTATTATTATTATTATTAT